GATAACAGAAAACATTGATTACAACTAGAACTGCACCAACTGATATATTGAGCCAATACGAATGTTAAATTAAATATTCAATTTTGATAATTTAGGAGTTTAGGAGTTTATTTATTTAAAAAGGGTATAATACCCCAAGGGTCGGGGTATTATATGTATTTCACTAGTATTTAGATGCTAAAAACTTAAATAGATAAATATCAGAGAGCTGATTAAAGTGCAAAGTGCTATAGTGTTAAAGTGTTAAGTGCATACTTATATTGCAGATTGCCCAATTGTACAGTAGATAATTGCTATTTTGAATGCACAATACTGGGTATGCACTCATTGGGAGTTGCGGATGGTACCCCAACAATTGGCTAACACTGAGCAACTATACAAGTTTTAGGCTAAGATGTGGTTACAATGTTGATCTTCCAGTAGCCAAGCTTTAACATGTTTGGTGAAAGAAGTCAGAGACGGGAGTTCACGTATCACGCTTGGTATTGAATTCCAGGTGTGAGATGCACAAAGAGAAAAAGCAGCTTGACTAAAGGTACTTTTTCTAAAGAACTACACAGTCACCTCTAGAACCGGCTCTAGTTGATCTGTTTGAGTTTTTTTTCACAAATTCCTGTAATGGAGGAGGTGCTTTGCCGTGGAAAATTTTATAAATCAAAATTGCGTCAGTGTGTTTAACAATATTGTCCCAGCTTAAGCGCTCATGTTTTTTTAATATCTGACAGTGATGGTACGTTTTCGGTTTTTTGTCTAATACTTTCAGGGCTTGTTTATAGACTGTTTCAATTGGCTTTAGTGTTGTCTTACAAGCCGACGCCCAGCTTGTTACGCAATAGGACAGGTGTGACATAATCATACTGTCAAAATACATTTTAGCTGCCTCAGGGGTTAGGTTATTTCTAATAAATCTGAAGCTGGACAAGTTAAACTTAATTCTATTCACAGTGTTTTTTATCTGTCGTTTAAAAAGAAGATGCGAGTCAAGAGTAACTCCTAAGTATTTAAACTGTTGTACCACCTCGATTGTTTTACCATGTACTAAAACTTTAGGATCACTGTCAGAATTTGCTCTCTTTGAGAAGTACATACATACAGTTTTGGATATGTTCAAGTACAGTTGGGATTTCTCAAGCCAATTGTACACATTTGTCATAGCATCCGTCAGTTCTTGTGCAGCATGTTTTTTATCGTTTGCATGGACATACAGAACAGCATCATCTGCATACATTTGGCAGGTGACATGCGAAGGACAAAAGCTTGGCAGATCATTTATAAACAAACTGAAAAGCAGTGGACCTAGGACCGACCCCTGCGGTACCCCTAGATTGTTGTTACGTGAAGGTGACTTCATGTTCTGTATCCTAACACACTGAGATCTTGCAGATATGTATGATTCAATCCATTTCAGAGTATTTGGAGAGAAATTAAAGCTTGACAGTTTGGTCAACAGTATCTGATGGTTGATGGTGTCAAACGCTTTTCTGAGATCGATAAAAATAGCACCAGTGACACCACCTGTATCCAGCTTTAATTTTATGTAGTTTTGTCCACATCTAATATGATGGAAATTTCTCTCTGATCATAACTGCATGAGCATAGACTGAAAAAGGAAAAACCCCTGAATGATTGACACTAAAGGAATCCAGAAGAAGTTGACTGCAATGACAGCAATGGTGGTGAAGACAGCAACTCCCATGATCTCACGCTACTTCACAACGTCACCAAACTCCTGTCTTTTATTGTTGTTTTGATTGAGAGACCCCTGGCAGCAGAAAATGACATACTGTGCATTTAAAAGGTTAAACAAGAGACCTTTTCGGTCTTGATGGGTCAACTTCTTCTAAAAACATGGGGGAACAGTTGCATCAGTCTGGATTTCAGTGATCTTTGAAATCTAGAGCTGGAATTATACTGATGCGAAGATACAAATAAATGTCTCTTTAAAGCAACTCAAAGAAGGATGTAATGGGAAATAGTAGGTCTCAGAGGCACACAGAGGAACCGCTCAACTCTAAAGAAGAACGACAGCATCATTTCAGGAAGTGACTGTGTGCTCAAGTGACAAAGCCCTCTAGCGGCTGTAGTAATTATGACAGGAGCCAAGTAGGAAGTCAGGTGACATTGTTATAGAGCGACAAAGTCCACGTGGGGAGGAGGTCGTATGATTCGAACGTTGGGTCGACAAAACATCAGACTTTAACACAGGGGACAGCTGACCGCATGACCATGATCGTAACCAAGTATGTATTATTGTAACCATGATAAAAATCCATCTCCTTACCTTAACAAAGTAGTCACTGTAACAGTTTTAAAAGGCACAGACACAAGGTATTATACTGCTGATAGTGGAATCAGATCAGAAAACACTTGAATGTGTTTGACATATTTTGATGTATAATTTGGAGGACTTGTTGTCCAAGAAAATGCATCATGAGGACCTGTGCATCAAGCAAGCTGACTGAGTATCAAAAACTGAAGTGCTGAAAGCTGGCATCAAATGTCTGATCATCATTCATCTCTGATCAAACAGTTCCTGATTCAATAATGAAGTGTTAAAGTGTTATATGTTTTAACATTTGATAACTTTCAAAGAACGGAACAGGCATTTTCACTTGCATTGCCCGATAAGAATTCTCCTCCGGACTGTGTCGGCATGTACAGTCTGTCATTTGGAGCAGTCATAACTAAATTTGCTTCCCATTCGTGTCTATGTGGAAAGCGAGACTTTTGGTCACAAATTACTGTTTATATTCTTCTTCTATAACTGCAAGACGGAAGAATACAAGTAGCAGAGAAGGAGCGATGCTGCAAACAATCTATTAGTATCCTTTTACAAGACGTTAAATACCAGCAGTTATAAACTGAACAGTTTCACAAAATAGTGCCAAACCCTATCAGATGGAACCAATTACAACCACCTTCAGATGGAAACTATGATACTACTGTGAAAGAAGCAAATGAGCAGCAGGAGAGAGAATACAGCGATAAGGATAAAGAAATGTGGACATGAAACAGAGGGAAAGACTGTGGGTAAAGAGGGGAGACTAGAAAGGCAAGAGGGAGGACGGTAAACAGGGAAACTGGAGATGAAAGAGTGAGCGACACAGCAGCAGCTCTCTGATTCAAATGCAGGAGGGCACAAATCCAGGTAGAAGAGAAGAAAGAGAAAAAAGGTATGGAAAGAGATCATCAAAAGAGAAGAGGAAGACAAATACACAAATGTTTCAGGAGGACAAAGGAGGAGGAAAGAAGCTGATGGGGAACAGCAGGTAAAGAGAGGAGCAGAAAGACGAGTCGGGGAAGAGAGGACAGGGTCAGCAGCAGATCTGAGTCAGAAACAGCAGGAAAGAGGAGAAGCAGCTGGAGGAGAGACAAAGCAGGAGGAAAAGAGAAGGAGATTCAGATGTTCTGGTGAAGCTGTAGATATTCCGTCACAGAGGAAGGATGAAGAACAACAATATCTCTCTCTCTCTTGTGGTCTTACTGCTGATTGTAGTGACATTAAACTGCACCAGAAACACCAGACATCCAGTTTTCCCCTTTAGTTTCCATTAGTAGCTTTAAGGTTGGACAATCATCTTGTTCCACACCATCATAAACACAGTGTTTTGTACCCACTTGTCACAGCTGTTAATTTAAGCTCTATGATGTTCACACTGAGTGAAGAATTCAAACCTGAGACTCCGTGCTTTCACCACTCTGTCAGATTTCCTGCAAAATTCCACCTGACATATCTGGTATCTTTAGAAACTTTTGCTGCAAGAGGTTACAGACAACTTAGGTGGAAGTAAGAAGAGATGGGCACAGAGGATGCAAAAAGGCAGGCAAACGAAAAGAAAATGGAGACAACAACCAACAGGATACGAGATCATTGTGTTGTGTTGCGGAAGACGATGGAGGACTTTTTCTGCAGTCTGGATCGCACACACACATACGTCATCTCCATTTCTCTCTTCACTTCGTCCTCTTCGATTTCCCTTCCTTTCTCTTGCTCTCCTCCTCTCTCAAGCAGGGGGGTAACAGCAACACCCCCGCTTCACATTCACACACTGACACACAGCTCTAGACAAGAACACTGCCAAGCGCAGTTGGCACAGTGTTCAAAGGTATTTAGAGGGAAAAAGAGACTGTTTTTCCTTCACATCACACAAGTCACAGAGTCAAACCGGCAACCTCTCAGTCCCAAAACCCATGTCTCCACTCTCTCTCTCTCTCTCTCTCTCTCTCTCACACACACACACACACACCTTCACACTCCAGCTGCTTTCTGGAGTGTGAGACCATAAATGTAGCTCTGTCCCAGGTTGCTCATCATGCTGCTCTGAGCACCCAATTAACCAGAAAACAAAGAGATAACCTTGTTTTATGCACACAGTGGATAAACTGCTTCAGTCAGGCTGGAAAGGTAAAAACACACAGCTGAGACCTTTTACTGCCAACCTTTGGCTCTGTGAATTAGACAACTTCTCTGTGCAGCAGCAAATAATGCAAAGCTTTTCATTAGGTATTATCACAGGAAGCCTGATAATCAATATGCACCCGTTTCAAATGTAGTGACATAAATGAAAGAGGGATGGACGCTGTGTAAAAGTCGCTCCAAAAAATACGCACAAGACATGTTCGGCTTACACGTTAATACTGTGAGAATAACGACGAAAATCGTAGTTAAAACTGACCCAGTTCTCTCGTATAACACAAATTAAATCATCATTCACATCAAACCGCTTCAAATCTTCTTTTATTTGTCTTTATACAACTGAGCACTGATGCGCAACCGATACGCACTAAATCCCACATTAGAAGAAATCCCTGTAGGTTACTTTGTCCAATTTGACATAACGAGTGAATGAGACAAACAACTAAATATTCCTGCATCCGGATAACACAATCCAGGCAGGGTGACAGAAGCAAGCAAGCTTCCTCTCCGGGTCTGGAGCTGCCCGGACTGGCTGCGTCTCCTCCAGGAAAAGTAAAAAAAGAAGCGCGCACAGCCTGCTCACCTTCTCCGGTTGTCCCGTATGAGCTGGAGAGAACCAGGGCGACCTGAGCGATAATAATCCCAGCGACTCTTTTTTTAGTCCCCAGATCCATGATGAAGCGGCGGGAGGATGCAGAGAAGCCCAGTGGCTGCCGGAGGAGAGAGAGACGGCGGACCTCTCCTCTCCAGCTCCAAGAGAGATCTCCTCAAACCCCACAGACTAAAGGAGGAGAGAGAGGGAGAGACAGAGGGAGAGGGAGAGAGAGAGAGAGAGAGAGAGAGAGAGAGAGAGAGAGATGGGGTGGGGGTGCTTGTACTACAGTACCACAGCTTCAGTGCGCCTCCTCGTCTCCAGAAAGCTCCCCTTTCTTCTTAAGCCTCTCAGTGTTTCAAAGAACCTCTGCCAAACTGAGTCCTTCAGTCTGATGTTGCCTGATAAATACGTACTGATCTCCCTTTACAGCAGGGCAATAAATAAACCGCCAGGCACCGCTGCTAGTCACCGCTGTGTTACACGTGGACACACACAAAAACATTTTTTCTTTCATCGGTGCATTTCATTGCGCTTTAGAAATGTTGGAAAGGATTTGCTTCAATCTCGTTTTTGGCGACAAACTTATAATGTAAGGTAGGCTTCATATAAACAGAGGGTATGTGCTTTATCAAAAGTCCTTTACTCTCATTCACAGGAGCACTCATATACCAACGGCAGCAGGCTCCCATGTAGTGTGCTGCTGTGCCTGACCATCACAGCTATTTTGGCTCTATGTGACGTGGACAGGAGGAGCTGAGGATGACCCCTGAGCCACAGCCTTAAAAAAAAATCTCACATCTCAAAAAGCTCAATGAAATTTCGAAATTTTGTGTTTTAAGTAGTTGTGCAGACTACTTGACACCCTCAGTGTGACATTTACATTCTAGGAAGTCACCTCTCCTGCTAAGATAAACTACACTACTGCCTGCAGCTTCATATTTCATATCACATTCAGATTACAGCAGAACAGCCTTGTGCGATAGGCGTTGGTTTGCTCAGTATTTACCACTCCGACACTGCTGGTGGAAAACACAAGTAGACTTGTTTATTTTTTGTCCCGTCTTTCAAGCTGTGGGCAACAGCCACTGGCTGAACCCTGGAAGGTCAGCGCAGCTCAGGTCAAAGTTCAATACCTTTGAACTTTCTGTGCACTGTAGAATAGGGCTACATATAAGCTTTTTTGATTAGTTCATCAACCATTTTGCCAGACAAATGTAAAAAAACTACTGAAATGTGCCTGTCAAAATTTCTCAGAGACATCTGAAGTCTTCATGTCTCGTTTGTCCCACCAACAGGCTGAAACCCAAATATTCAGTTTACTGTGATGTACAAAAAGAACAAAGAGAAGCATAAAATCATCACACATGAGAATCTGCAGTTAGTAAATGCTGGAATTTTTGCTCCAAAATAACTAAAATAATTAATGATTATCAAAAAAGTTGCTGATTAATCTTTTGTTGAAAGTATCAAAGTGCTAATCTTTGCTACTATGCATGATATGGCATGCATAGTAGGTTCTAGAGTATCCTCGACTTCTCTGGTTCTAGAGTAGTCGAGGATACCCTCCTCTTTGAATCTAAATAAGAATAATGCAATCTGAGCAAAATGGCTGCTGTCAGATATTTCCCCTCTATCCACGACAATGCAGCAGAAAACAAGGAAATCTGGGCTCATTTTGACCTTAAACCTAAACAGCTCAGCTCTCTGAGGACCACACCTGCTGCTGAATCTTCTAATAAGGACGGGAGTGATGCTTCCAACAAAAACAACAGCTCAACCACTCAGCAGGTTGAAGCTCCAGGAGCCTTGACAACATTAGGATGTTTGGTGGTGGCTGATTACCAACCTCTGGAAGACTTCAGTGTGACAGCTGCAGAGGATCCAGGTTCAGCTTTGTGGAGCGAGGAAGATGAGATGTGTGAGCTCCTGATCAGGCTGAAAGAAATAGAGCTACGCAACATGATAGGAGAGACTTCTGGCATCCCACAATGTAAGGAGATGATATCAATCACCTATGCTGCTATTATAGAGTTTAATATCCCACTTTAGAGCCAGGAAAGTCAATAGAGATGGTTGTTGGTTGTGGTTGCTTTTGCAGCTTCCCTCATTCTGCTTTTAATGATACTGGAGAAAGGAAGTGATGTTATTTGTATACAACATTTTATTTAATTTTAATCATGTGCTACTATTTGTCTGATGGTCTCTACTTCAGATACATTTCTGAGGGATATCAAGTGCTACCGGATGAAGCAGACTAGGAGAAAACGGAAATGAAGAAACCAGTCAGAAAGACAAACACTACATCAAATTATTTCAGTAATTTAAATTACCTACATTAAATTATCACAATCTAAAGCACTACCCAACTGTCTACAAACATTTGATTTAGTTTCAGGTTTTCTCTCAGCATGGGAATGTCAAATAGCATTCACTACAAAGTCTCTTATCAGTTTTGACTTTTCCTGAATGTCTGCTTTGGCACATGATTAAGACCTGGAGCTGGACCTACTGTATGAAAGGTTAGAGAGCATTTCAGTCACTATAAATAATGTAATGCATTCATGACTTAATACAAAGGGGGCTTTGGGCACATTTTCTTCCATAAAGCCCCATGGGTAGCTCAGTTTCAGACCTCTGAATTGCTGCCCACATCGCGTATTTTTCTTTCTTTCTTCCTGTGATTCAAACAGTAAATGAATGAGTAAAGTGAAGAGTAAAGTTAATCAATCAATTCTGACTAGCAGGCTACCCCCCCAGGAGATAATGTTGTAGACAATGATATAAATGTTCTTGATTAATAACCTGCAATGACTACTAAACTGAGAGCATGGTTTAGGGTAAAATTTACAACCAAGACTTCAGCAGTATGCATCTGGCTTCCATTAAGAAGGAAGGTAATTATAACGCTGCAGTATTAACAAAGGTTAATTACTGGCATCAAAATACTATAATATCATTTTTGCTTTCTGGGCTTTCTGGAAATAAGCGATTATAGGATATTAGCCATTGTCCAATTCCTCTTTGATTGTTAAAGCACAATTTATTCTAAATCTCAAAAACACATATAAATTATGGATTATCTGTCAAATAAGATTTGCATAGTGTCTAATACATTCACATTGCTCTGAGTGGCTGATTACCAGAGTCATATGTGCAGCATACAGGATGGATGCTATAATAATAGCTTTCATTTAGTGGGTATGAAGATTAAATAATTTATAGTCTTATGGTTCCCATTAAGGCATCTTAACTGAGTGCTCTTCTTTTCTACTGACAGTGTATTAATCTGTGACTAATGGCAGTACAAGTGCAAATACTTAAACATACATATATATATATTTGTTTTATCATGTGATGCCAGAGAGGCTCAACAAATCAACAAATATCGAGTTTCTACAACAGAAAAACTAACGCTAAGTGTGTGTCCTTCCACCTGTTTTTTTTAGAAAAAAAAAAAGATGAAAAAAATATTGCCTGAGATGTAAAAGTTGGTGTATCGATAAATACAAAATGCAAAAAAGGTGCTTAAGTTTAAGCTTCCACTGAGAACACCAAAACATCAGATCTGTGAAACACTCCTCAAATTAATATACGAAACAGACTTTAAATGACATATTTCCGGTATGTTTCCACAGTTTTCGTGCGTTTGAGATTTGACTGTCGCTCTTTTAATGACATCATCTTGTTGCTCCACCATCTGTTTCTTGATGCACCCAACTCACATAACAGTGATGGATAGAAAAATGCACTAATTTGCATTTTCTTTTGCCAATTTTATGGAAATTCTGTTAAAATTTGCAAGTTATTAGGATGGAAACTAGGCAGGCTGTTCTCCAAGAGTGAATGCAGCATTACTAATAATTACAACAGGTGGGTTAAAGCAACCATGATTCAACACACAGCAGGAGTCTCAGTCCAATTTGTGTAACACAGAACTGCCTGGGTATGAGGCTGTGGTGTCACATTCAACAGATCAACACCGGTCCGAAAATGAACTGAATACATTTATGAGAGAGAAAAGCTTTTGGTTTCATTGAGCCAAAGATGTGCGGTCAAGAAAACAGAAAGCAGAGAGGAGAGGGGAAGGCGTGCAGAGAGTCAGCAGGGGAATCTGATAATGAAACCCTACTGAGAGCATGGACAGCAGGGGAATCGGATAACACTGAAGCCAGAGTCTGCGAGAAACAAGGAACCACACCGTGCACTAACACACATACTCAACATGAGCGTCACACACCCCGGTGGCCCCTGTGGACACGCCGCACACAGAGAAACCAGCTGGTTGTTTAATGTTTAAATCAGATGGGTGAGAGATTTTATAATTATCTGAACCTGGGATGCGCCGAGAGGAAAGAGCAGGCCTCTGGTTGCAGAAAAGATTAGAAACTTAACAACACACCCTGAGAGTCAAATACAAACATTGAAACACACAGAGTTAGAGAGATTAGGGTTACATGGAAAACAGAAACGAGAAAGAGATTAATGGATGCTAATATTCCATTTTCTCTCTAGTTTTTGTTAAGTTCTGTTTTTTCGATGATGGGAAAAATGCTCAAAAAGAGAAACTGCACAACTTGAATCATCCTATTTTAAAGTGAAGATTACTTGTTGCTGCATCTTAAAGGTCTGATAAAAATCACTTGGCAGTCATGAGAGAAACTGGGCGACAGAGGGCATGAGAGGAAACAAAGAAAAGTCCTTTGTGTGTGAGTTGTGCTTTCATAGAAATGTGTGCAAAATTTCTATTCCACAAGTTGAAGAAAGAAATTTAGAAGTCTTTGTCAGTGTGAGCTCTGTATTAATGAACGCCGTGAAGCTGAAGACAGAGTGAGTAAACTGTGGCCAAGAAGTTAGCCATCAATAAACACTTAAAAGCCACTCAGCCTCCATCGTTCACAAACACAGAGCAGACCTTGGTGGAGTTTCTTTCTGAAGTTAGTCTGGATGGAGCTCATTTCACCTCTTATCGTATGAGGCTGGAGATTTTTGGCTGCAGTAAAAAGTCAAATAAAACCAAAATGTGATGACAGCATGGACATATCTGTGCTGATGGTTACCAGTAGGAGATCATGAGGAGATAACCACACAGACCTGACTGTGGGTTTTTTTCCCCAAGCATTAAA